AGGTGATCTCTGCTTCTTCTCTCATATTTATTTCTTCCTCACTCACTCGTTTCCATTTAAAGCGCTGAATCAACAACCCTAGAGTCGATCCCACTATTCTCTGAGCCAATCCTGCTCCTGGTCATGCTCGTCTTCCCAACCCAAATGCAATTAGCTTGTTTGCTTCTCCTTCTTTCTCAAACCTCTTTGGCTTGAAACTTGTAGGATCACTCCACACTTAAAGGATCTCTATGGATGGCCCAATCATTCATTAATACCATAGTGCCACGTGGAACGTTATATTTTCCTATAGTGCAGTCATTAAGCCCCACGTAGAACCAACAATGGTGCAGCAAGATGCAGCCGAAGTGTTTCATTCAATTCAATCTACCTATATCCTAAATTAGGTTTTTATATATAAACATAGTATATTTCATTAATTAATAAAAAAGGATCTCAAATTCAAAATTATAATTTAAATGAATGCATATAAGAAAAGAAAATACTTAACTGAAAATGTAAAAAGTAAATATTTTTATGATAAAAGATTAAATAAAAATTGAATGAAATAAATAATATAAAAAATTAAAACATGTCTCCTTGTTTTTTTTTTTTTTCACTCTTCAACAACATATGGAATTGGCCAAAAATCCAACAGAGTAACAAATAGATGAGATAAAAATACTTTAAAAAAACAGCTCCACTCATTCACCATCAAACACAGGGATGAAAGTAGGCTAAACTGCTATTAGAAGTTTTTAGGTTGGCCTACTTCAGGACAGGCATAGCCTAACCTATAAGCCTTATAAGCCAATTTATTTACATGTATATTATTATATATTATGTTATGTATACATAATATGTAATATATATTATTTAATTTAAAATTTTGAATATAATCAACTCCACCCCTTTTCTTCAACTCCTTCTCATTCTTTTTCTAGATCAAAACTCAAAAGCACTAGATGGTTCTTCCTTGACTATTTTCTTTTTTTTACTATATTTTGTATGATGAATTTATAATATACCGGTTTCACCATTTTCTTTTTTAATCAATATCATTTTTAGTTTATTGGTTATGTTTTTAATTAAATTGAACTTATGCATACATTGATTTCAATTTTGTTAGTGTTCTAGTTGATAAATCTTCTTGCTTATTATGTATTTTAGTTAGCAAATCAAGTTATATATATATATATATATAATTTTATAACTTATATGAGACCTTTAAAGCTTATTATATAAGCCTATTTAAAAGGCTCACTTTTAAATAGGTTTTTTAACAAGCTTTCAGGCCAAATTAGATTTTAGGTAATTTTAAATTTAAATTTTAAAAAAAATTTTATATAAGTTTCAAGTCAGGTTCAAGCTTTTGATCTAACTCAAGTTTATTTGGTTAAAGCTTGGGTGAATTTATTTTTAGCCTTGCGTACGAGCAATGGCGCACCACTTAGCCTTGCAATTACATTGAGCTTCCTCTCCCTCAACCCGATGACAACGATTTAGAAACAATATTCTTCAAACTAATAATGAGGCTTATTTTCAATATCAACGCATTTAATTAAGCATGTCTGATTAACTCTGCCTCTTTTCTCTGATTCATTGTCTCTGCTTGGTGACGTGGTCATTGGCCCTTGAGAATGAGCAAAAAAGATGTTCATTTCTTGTAATTGTGTCGTTTTCGTTGTCGATGTGTAGATGTAGATAGATGTTCCCAAGGATCTTGTCCGGAAGCACTGAATAGGTTCGGTGCTCATGCATTGTCACTGCTGATGAGATATCTTTCTGTACTGCTAAAATTTAAAATTTTTAATTAAGAAAATTACATTTAAATTTCACGTAACAGAATTTATTACTAAAAAGTTCTATAAAATCTATAATATTCTCAAATTTCAAATCATGCTTATTTACAATTTAATTAAACGTATTGACAATTGAAAAATAATTATTTACAACTTATAAAGAAAAATAACAAGTTGCAAATGCTCATTACTCAATTGTCAATGCTTATAATTAGTCAAGTTGTAAATGTACATGATTTATGAGTTAAGAGTATTTTTTTAAATTTTATGAAACATCTTGACAATAAATTGCCTTATATAAGACCTGGATGTACTTTTCTCTTTTTAATTTTATACTTCTTCCGTCTTAGAATATACTTTTTCTAATAAAAACTATAAGACATTTGTAAGTAAATCTCACCCTCAATAAAGTAGTTACTTGCCTTCAAACTAATACAATCTTTTCATGTTTACCCTAATATAATTGGGTATTTCACTTTAAAATAAATATAAAATAATTTATTTATTATGATCACTTTCAAAAAAAGCACATTAATTATACATTGAAATACTAAAAAATACATCACATTTTTTAGCATTTAATTTCTCAAAAAATGTCTTATATTTTTTAATGGAGAGAGTAATACATTTTTAAGACACTTTGACAAAAATAAAGTCTCATTAATGATATCTTTTTAATATTACTTTTCCTATATATTTTTCCTTTTTAAATGAAGGACATTTTTAAAAGTTTATACTTCCTCCAATTCTATTTATAGGACTGAGAGAATAGATTTTTTTAGCCCTATTTATAAGTCATAATCACAAGTTTTTCTTTTTTCCACCATTAAATGTTGAAGAGAGAAAATAGGTTGTTAAAATATGAATATTTAATAGGAAAAAAATGGAAAAATTATTTAATTTTTAGACAAATTTAATAATTTTTAAAGTTTTCCTTGAATTCAGTGAAACATATTGGAAGTAACTTATAAATAAGATCAGAGAAGTATTTTTTTTTGAAAAAATAAGGATGTAAAGTGTATTTAATAAGTTTTATTGATAAATGTAATTTTATTTAAAAGTGTCTTATAATATAAATTGATACAGAGGAAGTATTTATTAAAATTTTAATAATTTTTTTATCATTATTCACTAATGCGGATAGTCCGTATTTAATTTAAATGATCCAAATTTAGTATTAATTTTTTGATAATTTTTATAAATAGACAATCCAAATTTACTTTGAACAATTTAAATTTAAAATTTTTTACTATATAAATCCAAAGTATATTTGAATAGTCAACTTATAAAAATTATAAATAAAATTAAAATGAATTTAGATCATGTAAATTAAATATGTACTGTTAATAAGGGTGACAAACATATTGATGGGATATGGTTGTGATTTAATTAGTTTATTTCATATATTTAGTATTATTTTATTAGGATCATTTGAATAAGGATATTTAGGATGTCCATTGGATTGTTTAGGATTTAATTAGATTTTCTTATCAATATATTTTTTAGGATTTATTTTATATTTTATTTATTTTTAATAAAATAAGATATCTAGACTAATTATATATCTTATCGTCATCTTTTAAATTTAAATTTATTATTATTTTATTTTTTACAAGGCTCTATATATAGCCCTAGGGTTTTTTTATTTATATTCAGTTTGAGTATTGAATAATAAGAGTTCTTATTTTCTCGGCTTCCTCTCTTTCTTCTCCTCTCTCTTTCTCTCTCTTCCCCTCTCTCCCTTCTCATTTTACATCACATATTTATCAAAAAAAATTTATAATTTTTATTTTGATAAATATAAAATTGAAAACCTTAAACTTGGATTTGGATATAAGCACCAAATTGGATGCATTATAATAGCATACTTATCTTATCTATAAATCATTTTCAAACTATTTTATTGAAATTAACAAAAACCTTAAAACTCTATAAATTTTAAAAAATTTAAACTTATTCCTATTAAATATACATATTATAATAACATACTTTCTTTGATAAATAAATGTAGGGTAAAAGAAAAAAAGTATGGTAAAAATATAATAATGTGACTTGTAAATAAAGCAAAATAATTTTCTCCCCTTGCATTACAAATAGGGCTGGAAGGAGTATGTACTATCACGTGCTCATGTAGCCATGTTAACACACATTGGTCCTATTATCAATTAAAAATTTTTCAAATGCCCAATTCAAAAAATAAAAAAAATAAAATTAATTAAAAAAAATGTTTGTTGAAGCAAACGCTGCCACAGGGAGCGTTTGGTATGACAAACCCCTTGTGGAGACATTTACTAAAAACGCCTCCTTTGTTGAAGGCATTTTCCAGATGCTTGTTGTGGAGACTTTTATTTAGCGGAAAACATCCCTAACAGCGGCATTTATTTTGTGTTTCCAGCAAATTTTTATAAACGCCGTGAAAGTAATAATAACATTTGTTTTGGTGGCATCTCTGAAAAACGTTGAAAGCATCTCTAGGGACATTTTAAAAGCAAAGAAAAAACGCACCTAAAGCAATGTTTTTTTTTTTTTTTTGCAGTGAATGTCCATATGTAAACAATACAATTAATATCTGTTTATTATGCATAGTACATGTAGTTATGGGAAACGCGTTTTTTCACAAAAAAAAAACACACACACACACACACACACACACACACACACACACATTTGCATTTGGGATTTTTGAGCATGCAGTAACAATTCAGAATGCATGAGATCTTATATGTGATTTTTTCCATTTTAGGCGCCCTAAGTGTGATTCTCCCTGATTTTATGATATTGAAGATATTTGGTAGTGAAAGATTTTCTTAGATCCTAAACGAACGTATGTGTTATTTTCTTAGATCATATACAAACATTTTCACCTTGGCCACTTTTTATAATTGACTATTGTTGGCCATTTTATCGGCACAGGAATTCAAGTGGCCGGTTGCGGTAGTCCAGCCACTGGCGCAGTGGGTGATCTGACTGCCGGTGATGAAGCTCCGACACTGGTGATGACAGTGAGTTTGTTTTTTTAACGAATCGAGAACATTTTATTGATTGAATTGTGAGATTTAATTCCAATTGAGGATCTTGGACTCAAGTAAATGTTACATATTCATTTGGGCCTTGATGCAATTATTTCCTATGGGAGGATCCTGACTGAGATTATCCCCTTTTTTTTAAGCCCGTATACTTCTTGCTTTAAAAAAACGCTGCTGAGTTCACACACATATATGGAAAATACCTATAATACAATATAAGTACATAATAAACAATAAAGGTAAAGTGATTAAACTACAGAGAGAATAAATTTATACGAAATGTGAAAAAACAACTATATATAAGGGAATTATTGGTGTGCACATGTTCCCATTCGCTGAACGTAATACAAGTAGCTAGATTGTACCAAATACTGAAAGTGCGCCTTCTATAATATGGAACTTTCACATTAATCCCATGCTATGCCCAGATACCATTCCTTAGTTTAGCAATCCTCCGCAACATTTTGGGAAGAAAGCTTGTTGATGATTGGATGACGTGCTTTACACATAGCCTCTAAGGGAATCATTTTTGGCATGGTGATCCCTGCTCCTTCTCTCATATCTATTTGTTCCTCACTTACTCTTTTCCATTCAAAGCATTGAATCAACAATCCCAAAGTCAATCCCACTGTTCTCTGAGCCAACCCTGCTCCAGGACATGCTCGCCTTCCCAACCCAAATGGAATTAGCTTGCTTGCTTCTCCTTCCTTCTCAAACCTCTCTGGCTTGAAACTCGTCGGATCATCCCACAGTTGGGGATCTCTATGGATGGCCCAAGCATTCACTAATACCATAGTGCCACGTGGAACATTATATTTTCCTATAGTGCAGTCATTTGAAGCCTCGTGTGGAACCAACAATGGTGCAGTAGGATGCAGTCGAAGTGTTTCAGAGATTATGCTTTGCAGGTATGGTAGTTTTGGAATGTCTGGCTCGTCTATAAACCGTTCTTGCCCAATATGCGAGTCTATTTCTTTCTTTGCATTTTCCAATACATTAGGATTGTTTAGTAAACTAGACATTGCCCACTCTAAAGTTACAGCTGATGTTTCCGTGCCAGCAAAAAGCATATCCTATAAGTCAAAATCAGCAAAGTCAAACCAGTAAATACAAAGCTTTTTTCAAAACTTATGAGATTTTCTTTTTCACAGTTGTATTAGCTGTGTCGCAGTTTTCCCCCCAAATTCTTCCATCATTAACCTTAAATCCACAAATTTAACCAGAAAAAGTGGCAAAAACTAAGCATCCTAAAGCAACTTGAACATACAGGTTGCAAGCTCGTTATAAAGCAAAGTAATCAAAAGATATCTCACCACCCAAAAGGCAAAAATTTAAATTATTTTTACTCACCAAAGCGAGGCCTTTGATAATCTGATCCGTATAGTACTCAGGTTGTGATTCTTGGAGACTCAAAAGATGATCTATCATAGTATTGGCTCTCTGCTTTGCATTTCTATGCTCGTCAATGAGTCCTTGTAAGAAACCATCTATTCTCATAGCCAAACTCTCGAGCCTCCTCTCTAAGTCATCAAAGTCAAACAATCTCAGTATGGGCAAGAAGTCTCCAGGATTATTTGCCCCTCCTAAAGGCACTACTTCTTTTATCATCTCTCGAAACTTGCTTGCCTCTTCCACGTCCCTAACTTCATTGTCATCTCCCCAATACCTCTTTCCAGAAATCATTCTCATCATAGTGTTGAAGGTCATCTCTGAAAGCCTTGATGTCATCTCCACTTTCTCAAAATGGTTACATGAGCCTTGAGAAAGCTTCTGCACCAGACGCTTCATCTCGTCTCTGCGTATTTCCAAGAATTTGTTGAGACGGTGCGTGGAGAGCACCTCGAGCGCCGTGATGCGGCGAAGGTTTCGCCAGTGGTCGCCGTAGGGAGAAAAAACTACGGTGGTGCTGTTGTATGCAATATACTCACTGGCGAGAAACCGAGGCCGGTTCGCCAGGACAATGTCGTTTCTGGTGAAGCATTCTTGGACTGCGGACGGAGATGAGACGACGACCACGAGACGAGAGCCAAACCAAAGAGAAAAGATTTGGCCATAACGTTGGGAAATTTTGTGAAAGGCACGATGAAGTGGTTTTGTGAGCTGGTGGAGGTTGCCGATTATGGGAAGAGAAAATGGACCGGGTGGGATGTTTTTGAACTTTCTAGATTGATGAAGGAGCTTGAGAGTGAAGAAGAAAGCAAAAGAAACAAGTGGATAATAGAACATGAAGGAGCTCATGGTTTTTTATGCTTGTTGTTTGGAAGTGATTTGAGTCATTGGGACATATTGTTATGGTGCTATATATAGCCGCATTTGTTGCCTTTGAGCTTTGGTTGTCGAAATTTGAGTGAATAGAAGTTAATAAAAAAAGTCTCATATAGGATAAAATTAAATTTAATAATTAATGTAAAATAAAGAGAAATAACTCAAACTTAAACTTAATCTTTTGAGATATTGAATTAAGAAATGATGTCCTTTTATTAATATTATCTGTTTTTTCTCTTCGGCTTCTAGATAGTCACTCCCTACTCCTAATATAGGTAATGCTTTGATTAAAATCTTATATCCAAGAGATTATTTTCTTGAAAAGTTTAAGTCATTTCCTTATTAATTTGAAGTATAGTTTGTTTCATATAAATAGGTCTGGAGAGAGTATTTTAACAATGCTGCTCCTGATGAGTCAAAGGTTTCATTTAACTACATTGATATTCATCATGTTCGAACACCTCACACGGTGAACCAATTAAAAAAAAAAAACAGATTCTGTTAATGAGTCTTGAAGAAATCTTGAGCCCTATTATATATATTTCACCCTGAAATTTAAGGATTTTTTTTAGTTACTAAAATGAAATGAAAAATGAAATAGAATGAATTGATAAAAAATAAAATAAATTAAAATAAGGTCATGGTCTCATGGATTGATAGATGTGTGAATTATAAAATGAGGAGAGTAGAAGTAATAGAGATGTGAGAATGATCATTGACATGAAGTAGATCATCAATCTTTATTTCTATGTCCTTTCTATCACTTCATGAGTTCTAAGTATGAATACATAATTTTATTTAACTAGTTTATTTTATTCTCTATCAATTATTAAATCATTGCAATCCAGATACCCAGCTAAGAATCGAATTACAAATACTGTGTAGGCATCATATGAATATCTGGATGAGTGGGTGTTGAAATATACAGATTAACGCTAGCTTCAAATTTTGGCTTGGCTTGGCCAGGTAGCAATTGGCCCTTGAGAGTCAGCAAAAGATGTCTATTTCTTGTAATTGTGTCATCTTCGTTGTCGCTGCGTAATTGAATGTAGATAGATGTTTACAAGCATTTTGTCTCAAAACTGCATATGTAGCATCACGGGATCGCATTCCGTGCTCATATATAGGCGATGAGTAGGATGGCATTCTGATGACATTTGCACAGTTTAGATTTAAAATTTTTATTTTTATTTTGTATTTATTAAAATAAAAATTTATACATTTTTATAATAAATCTTTTTGTTATCAATTTAAATAGTTCATATTTAATATGGACATTATAAATTTAATATTATTTTTTTAGAATGTTTATAAACTTGCTATGGATATTTACTCTGTAGATTTAAAACACTTAACTTATAATTTTTTTAAAAAAATGTGAAAAGTGCCAGTCATGTGATTATTTTTATTTTAATAGTGTTTATCACCATAAAAATTTAAAAAAATTATAAAAAAAATTAAGGAAAAATTAATCTTTAAGTCTTTCAACTTTTAACTCACTTGTAACTCAGTCTTTCAACTATGACTCGCTACAACTCAATCTCTCAACTATAACTCACTGCAACTCAGTCCCTCAACTTTTGATTTACCTATAATTCGGTCCTTATTTTTTAATTTTTTTAAAAATTTTATCAAATAAGAAGAATAAAAAATGCTCATATATTATTTTAAAATATTCCCTTCTTATTCATTAATGTGAGATATAAGCTAATATGAAAAAAAAATTAACAAAGGTTAAGGGACTAATTTGTAAGTGATTCAAAAGTTGAAGGACTGAGTCATAGGCGAGTTATAGTTAAAGGATCGAGTCACAGCGAGTCATAATTGAGGAACTGAGTTATAAATAACTTAAAAGTTGGAGGACTAAAAGATTAATTTTTTCAAAAAAAATTAATATTAAAACTGGGCCATCAAAATAAATTTGTATAGTGAAGGTAGGCAGTATGTATGTAGTTTGACTTTATGATATTGATGATATTTGGGAGTTAAAGATTTTCTTAGATATCCTAAACAAACATGCATGTCTGAGATTTTCTTAATTAGATCATAAACAAACATTTTTAGCTCTGGCCTCTTTATTTAATTTTGTTGGCCATTTTGCTAGCACTAGAGTTCCGGAAGTTGGCGTCGCCAGCCCATTCATCGGCACGGCGGTGGCCTGCCAGTCCTCGACAGAGCTCCATTAACCAGGCCATGAGATTAATTCCAGTTGGGTATTTTGGGCCTACAGAGTATTTTATATTCATTTGGGCCTTGCATTAAGATTATCCCTTTATTTAGGTCGCTTTACTTCTTGCTTTTAAGAGAACATGCCGCCACGTTCACAAACTTATGGATAATAGTCTAATACATATAATATAATATAATTCTATCATAAACGATGAAGGCGAAGTAATTAAACTACATAGGAATTTGAAATACAAGAATTAAACTACAAAGAGTATAAATTCATACGAAACATGAAAAACAAACTATATATAAGGGAATTATTGGCTGGTGCGCGTATGTTCCCATTCGCTAACGGTAATACAAGTAGCTAGATTGTACCAAACACTGAAAGTGCACCTTTTATAGTTTTGAACTTTCACATTAGTCCCATGCGATGCCCAGATACCATTCCTTAGTTGTTTAGCAATCCTCTGCAACATTTTGGGAAGAAAGCTTGTTGATGATTGGATGACGTGCTTTACACATCGCCTCTAAGGGAATCATTTTGGGCATGGTGAGCCCTTCTCCTTCCCTCATATCTATTTCTTCCTCACTCACTCGTTCCCATTCAAAGCATTGAATCAACAATCCCAGAGTCAACCCCACTGTTCTCTGAGCCAATCCTGCTCCTGGACATGCTCGTCTTCCCACCCCAAATGGAATTAGCTTGCTTGCTTCTCCTTCCTTCTCAAACCTATCTGGCTTGAAACTTGTAGGATCGTCCCACAATTGGGGATCTCTATGGATGGCCCAAGCATTCACTAATACCATAGTGCCACGTGGAACATTGTATCCTCCAATTGTACAGTCATTTGAAGCCTCATGTGGGACCAACAATGGTGCAGCAGGATGCAGTCGGAGTGTTTCAGAAATTATGCTTTGCAGGTATGGTAGTTTTGAAATGTCTGGCTCGTCTACCAATCGGTCATTCCCAATATGTGTGTCTATTTCTTTCTTAGCCTTTTCCATTACTTTAGGATTGTTTAATAAACTTGACATTGCCCACTCTAAAGTCACAGCTGATGTTTCCGTTCCAGCCGTAAGCATAACCTACAATAGATACAAATTGTACAATCAATATTAGAATTGGACTGTGTGCCTTTTGTTTTAAAATAATTCTTTTTGTTATCTTTTTTATATAAATGTTTGACTGTGTACTTTATCCTGTCAAAGAAAAGAAATTTACATACCAAAACGAGGCCTTTAATAATTTGATCCGTGTAGTACTCAGGCTGTGATTCTTGGAGACTCAAAAGGTGATCGATCATAGTATTTGCTCTCTGCTTCGCATTTCGATGCTCCTCAATGAGTCCTTGCAAGAACCCATCTACTCTCTTGGCAAAACTCTTGAGCCTCCTTTCCAAGTGATCATAATCAAACAATCTCAGTATGGGCAAGAAGTCTCCAGGATTATTCGCCCCTCCTAGCTTCGCCAACTCTTTTATCACCTCCCTAAACTTTCTTGCCTCTTCCACGTCACCAAGTTCATTGTCGTCTCCCCAGTACCTCTTCCCTGAAATCATTCTCATTATACTGTTGAAGGTCATCCCTGAAAACCTCGATGTCATCTCCACTTTCGTAAACTCTTTACACGAGTCTTGAGCAAGCTTTTGCACGAGGCGCCTCATCTCGTCTCTTCGCATTTCCAAGAAATTGTTCAGACGATGTGTTGAGAGCACCTCCACCGTGGCGATGCGGCGGAGGTTGCGCCAGTGATCGCCGTAGGGAGAGAGCACCAAGGTGGTGCTGTTGTATGCAACATACTCACCGGTGAGAAAGTGGGGCCGGTTTGCCAGGACGATGTCGTTTTTGCTGAAGCATTCTTGGACTGCGGACGGAGATGAGACGACGACGACGAGGCGAGAGCCAAACCACAGAGAAACGATTTGGCCATAACGTTGAGAAATTCTGTGAAAGGCTTGATGAAGTGGTTTTTTGAGTTGGTGGATGTTGCCGAGTATGGGAAGAGAAGGTGGACCAGGCGGTATGTTTTTGAACTTTCTATTTCGGAGGAAGACACAGACAGTGACGAGGAAAGAAAGAGAAACAAGGAAATAATAGAACATGAAGGAGATCATGATTATTTGGTTCGTTTCTTTGTGGAGTATACTGATATGGATAGATTTGAGGCATGAACACATGTGTTGGTATGACATGATATATATACATAAATGGCGGCGGGTGTTACGTTTGATCTTACGTCTGGTGCGGCTAATGAGAGGTGTAAAGGGTCTCATTTCCCACTTCTTTGCGTCATTTGATACGTAAAATGTGCTGACGTCGCCCTCTCTTAACTTCATAGCATAATTGATATTCATGTCGGATCGTACCTATCACCTAACCATTTAAAAATTAATTCATGGAAAAAAAAAAAAAATCCTCTGTGCACTTGGCTCTTTAAAGTTGTAAAGTTATATGAATTTGACTGCAAATAATGTCTGAAATCTGCTTGGGTTATTGAAAACAATATTTTTTCAATCCTTTTTATAAATCATTTATATTAATTTTATTAATATTAATGTTAAAAAAGTATAAAAAAATAAAAGTGTGTAAAATTTTAAATATATTTCTATATAACAAATCTAAAAAATAATATCATGTTATTTTCCCTCTCTTTTATGAAAGATAATTTTAAAAATATTTTTAAATATTATTTAAAAAATCATACTGTAATTTATAAATAGAATCAAATAGACATTTTAAAATATGTTTTATCTATAAGATTGGAAGAAGTATATTTGATGTGCTTGTGTGAGATAAATACAATTGCTGATGTCAAGGACAAGGATGACACTCCCTGTACTATTTTTTAAAAAAATTAGGTAAGTTAGTCTATATAGAATTCACAAAATTAGGAGATATTTCTAAATTTAAATAATATTTATAGATCATCCACTAATAAAGTTCTCACATTAATATTAAAATTTGATCCCACAATTTATGAATTATGGTCAACTCCTTGTCACTTGGATTAATTTTTATTGGCACTTCCTATACTGATTTTATATTATTTGTCTCGTTATCCTAAGAAAAATGGGGGTCATCATCGGTGTAATTTAAGGGAAAACAAGTTTCGAGAGGAGATAATTTTTTTAGCCGGCTAAAATAATAGAACAAGAAGGTGATGATATTTCCTGTGATTATATATAAATCACTTCTAAAATTGTAATTACCCACCAAAATCAACAAGTGATAATTAAATTATCAATTGTTCAAAAAGAAATAAATTCCTAACTTACTCTTATTAAATGTATCATCTTTAAAATATTTTCTCTCTCATACATAATTTTTTTAAAAAATTGTACAAAAATAAAATCAAAATCAATTAATTAATTATATAAAGTAGTCATTTATAAAAACAAGGATAATTTGTTCAAAAAAGTTACGTATGTAAGTATACTCCCTTTGATCTTTATTATGGGGGCGCTTCAAGAATTTTTTAATCATTAATATGAAGCACATGAAGAGTTATTTAGTATAATTTTTCAATTTTTTGGTGAAATATCATTTTTCAATTTTATCTCTATTGTGAATTCAATTTTATGATTAATTATATACTGTGTATGTAATTAGAAAAAGAAATTAGAAAAATTATATACTGTGTATATAATCTTTCCTATTTTTAATAGGGTCAAAATTAGGAAAATAAATTATTTTAAGACATGTTTAATGAGTTGATTGTGACTCCTTGGTCCCAGTAAATTAGCCTAAAACGTCTTATAATAAAAATTGAAAGTGGATGTAGTACTTTTCTTGGTGTTTAGTGATACGAATGGATTTGAGCCATGAAGACACGCACGTGTTGGTGCTACATACATAATACTTCTGCATGTGCATGTTGCGTTTGATCTTACGTCATGTTTTGATTAATCATGGATAATGAGGATCCATTCCCAAACGCTAAGTTCCAATTTCGTCAAGTGATTACATAATTTTTCTTTAATTTTAAAATTGGTTGAAACGTAATGCGCTGAAATTCATGTCCGGATACCTATGGCCTAACCAATAAAAAAAAGCGAATGTTACTACTACTTCCTTTCAAGGCCTTACAAGTATGCTTATTATTTTGATCTTTTCCTCCCATAGTCTTAAGTATCGAATTTTGATACTACTACTTCCTTGCGGTTTCCAAACTCAATAAAAATATGTAAACATAAAAATAATGATGATTAGGTATGAGAACATCTAGACTTGTGCTCGTTGAAATATACATATAGCGTTTAGTGCTAGTAATTTTGTTTTGTGAAGGGGACACACACACCCCGGGGGGGGGGGGGGAAGAGTAAAGATTAAAGATACATTGCTAATTAGAATGGATATATATATATATATATATATCAAAAGAATTCCGTGCCACCTATAAAATTCTTGCCATTTGTATAGCCATATCATCAAGTGAACATCATGTAATCAAATTGTAATTAATAATAAATTTGGTGTCACAAACTCTCAAGTTAAATGGGGCGAGTATCATTATATTCAATAAGTATAGCGGCCACTGACAAGGCAGAAGCATATTAAAGAAGCAATACAGAAAAGGAGAAATACAAAGAATAAAGGTCCAGAGGAGGAAGAAAATAGACAGAAAGAAAGGTTTACAAAACAATTCACACCACATTGTTCCTCCTCTTTCTATTTATAGTTAAAGAGTTGCACACACCATTCACGTATTCCTTATGGCACTCAGTGATTTCTTCTAACAAACTCTGCTACATCATCACTTAATATTTACACACTCCACACCGTGACATTACTTTTCCCATAAATTTTGATCTTGTCCTCAAGGTTAAAATCTAGAGAAGAAGCATATAAAGCAGGCAAGGTGTACCTTGTAGGTGGATCCAAACCGTACCATTCCAAGAAACTAAAATACAAGAGTATTTTGCATGCATAAGTATTTTGCATCCTTGTCAAGCCCAATAGGCAATATGACCATCAACTTGGAAACTTGTAGGAGGGGGTCCAAATAAGTATTTTTATCTTTAAGTTATTTGAATTTCCAATAACTTCAACCCTCTCAATTTATTTGTGTTTTCACTATGCGTATCTCAGACACCAGCATTTCCATAATCACCACAGCAATATGATGAAGCCTAATTCGGGCCAGGTAAAAGAAGATTAAAAGCAAATAAGAGAAGCAACAAACCGGCCGACACACATGAAATAAATCGACTCTAGAAACTCATATCGATCCAATCCATTTCCAGGAACATGATGTTGTTGATACGAAGGAGACGAGAAAGCGACTGTTTGCAGCATAACTGCATGACCATTGAAGAGCAATCTCCAAGTTTGAAAACATGAACATGGGTGCCTGAAAGGTACAGAAGAGAGAACAAGTTCTCAAAGAAAAGGCAATCATGCCATGTAAAATCAACAACCAACAATTGTCCCAAAGACAATTAATTTCCCGAAATTAAAACAGATAGCACCACCTAAAACTGAAATGAAAACCTTTATTGAATAGCCAAAGAACAAGAAAATAACAACAAAGTAGAAAACTAGAAGAGTAGCCTAAGGACCAGCAAGATAACATAACACTACCATTTTACGATATCCATAACCAACCTGCCACAAAAAACCTATAGACGAGCTAAAGTCAAACAACATTGTAAAATCGGATTGAGAAAAGCAGAAAATCCTAAATTAGGTTTTCGAAGCTGAAACCTCATAAATAGAGGAAAAAGAAAGTTAAAGAAATTTAGTGGAGCATCGGAAGTTGGAGAAGCGAAGAAGTAACAGAAAATGGCTAAAATAAAAAAGTGGTGCTGGCGGAAAAAAAAAAAAGGCGGTGGAAACATACGAGTGAAAAAGGCGGTGGAAAAGAGAATAGAAGAAAATGACACGACAAGAAAGTAAAAACGAACAAGCAATGAAATTAAAAAGCGGAAGAAGGAAATCGAAGAAAATGTACAGAAGTAATAAATTGGAAAATAAAAACAAGCTGACAGTGATAGAGGGAAAAACAATTCTTTGCGAAAGAAAACAAAGTCGGTGGGGGGAAGCAATTAAGAACTGAGTGAAACGAAAAAGATATATAAAGGAAACAAGGGATGAAGAAGAAATAGATGAAAATACAAGAGACAAATTAATTAAGGAAGAGCAAGAGAAGAGTGACAAACTCTCCAACAAAGAACAGAACGCTGACGGCAAGGATAAAGGGAAGAGGGACAAAAGCTCTGCAATGAAGTGAGAAAATTCTCTCCCATTGGTGTCTTTCTCATCCATTTAATTTCAATTTTTATTTCCGTTTCAAAATTTAATTTGTCTCTTTTTTTCTTTTAAAATATTTTACATTATTTAAATAAAAAATTTTAAATACTTGAATTTTAAAAGTGAAGTTTTAAATATAAAATAAATATCTCCGAACTCCTTAGATAATTTGAAAAATACAAGAAAATGACAAAACCATGTAACTTATAAAAATACAAGAAAAAACAAACTCTATGGCCTAAGGGAATTATTGGTGTACATGTATATGCATGTTCCCCTTCACTGATTGCCAACAAAGTAAATTGTATCAATAAACTAACTACCACAATTCCACGTCCAGATTCAATTCCCTAGCTATCCTCTGCAGTGTTCTCAGAAAGAAGCTTGCTCATGATGAGAAGACGCACTCTACACATGGCTTCTAAAGGAACCATTCTTGGCATCGTAATCCCTACTCCTTCTGTCATATCTATTTCTTCTTCACTTACTCGTTTTCATTCAAAGCATTGAGTCAACAATCCCAGAGTCAATCCCATTATTCTTTGAGCCAAACCTGATCCTGGACATGCTCGTCTTCCCACGCCAAATGGAATCAGCTTGCTTTCTGCTTCTTCCTTCTCAAACCTCTCTGGCTTGAAACTTGTAGGATCATCCCACATTTGGGGATCTCTATGGATGGCCCAAGCATTCACTAATACCACAGTGCCACGTGGAACGTTATATCCTCCAATTGTGCAGTCATCTGAAGCCTCGTGTGGGACCAACAATGGTGCGGCAGGATGCAGTCGAAGTGTTTCAGAGATGATACTTTGTTTGTAGGTATGGTAATTTTGAAATGTCGGTTGGAATATTATTTATGGATTAACCTTAATTAATAAGCGCAAATAGATTGATTTTTATGATCTTGTGT